TTGAATCAAAGCAATTTCAAATATTACCATAAAGAAGAAGCATGCACCACTAACAAAAGTACCCTCTCAAAATGGTCAATTTTGGACAACTGAAAGTAGATTTCAATTAACAAGTAGGTGTGGCTAGTACTAGTACATACCTGTTAATTCTATTTTAGTTATATTTTTCACAAATCATTTTAGTTATGATTCTAGTTATTTTGACATCAAATGGAAGAATTATAGTTTAGTTAACTAAATTACAAATTTGCTATACTAAAATAGATTTAGTTATAATTATAGTTAACTAATACAACACTGGAACCAAACTAGTCGTAGAATCCTGGAACGAACATTTTGTACCAGGTTTGTGCACATTAATAACGTTGATAACAATACACCGTAAATGATAGGCCATGGAATTCCAAATGTATTGAAACAATCAAGTTCAATCAGTAAACCCACAACTTTTTTGAAGTCCACTAGAAGTTCAGACGTCTTTTGAACTATATGGAGGAAGAATTAGTACAGATCCACTGTTGAGTCACCCTATCATCACAATGAAGCTTGATCTTTCAGCCTAACTTTGATGCTTTCTTTAGCACAGTAGCCAAGGGTGACTTCACATTGAAAAGCACGTCTGCTACACTTCAGTAAATACAGTAAGTAAATACTGTCAATCACAAATTTAGACAATAACAGTAATAATCATTGCATTTCATAAAGCAAATAATCAATGACCCTATGTACTAATAGTAATGAATTTTTTTGAAATAATGGGAGACATAACAAAAAGGATGCAAAGAGATAACAAGTCATGATTTGTTCACGTAATAATTAAACTACAATGTATCTAAGACAAGCCAACAGTTTATCACCTAGCATAATACAGGGCTTCAAAACACTACAAAAAAAACAGAGACAAGAGGGGTGATAAGGTGAAAGAAATTAAGACTATGTCAACTTACGTCTAGAGAAGGACAAAGATGGCTATGTGAGAAAGAGAGAGAGGAAGGGTGGATGAGAGGGAATGACTGGTGTCACAAAGAACCAATGAGACTGGAGTGAGTGGCTTTACTAAAATGGTAACCAAGTAATAAGAGGGATATAGGGAGAGAAAGACATGTAATACTGGTAAGTTGATTAACTGAGGGCATAAGTTCACACGACAACAATAATATTGGTATTAAATAACCATGGTCCCTGATACTGGAAGGGCCTAGTCTAAACAGACAAGGATCAAATGATATGTTAATGGTAGGACAGTGACACAGAAAACTGAAATTTAATGAAATTAAGTCATTATGTGAATTACGATTTCATGAGTTGCACTTGAAACTAACACATCTAACATATGACAAGCAAAATGTTGATTGAAATTACGTGTACTTAGTAGTTAGTAATGGTCCCAACTTTATGCAAGGTAAGAAATAATTACAAGATTACTGAAGGAAGAACACCATACATACATACACAGATACATGTACATACATACACATACAAATACATACATGTACATACAATACATACATACATACATACATACATACATATACATGTACAATTATGGTTTGCAATCCATGTATACTTACAAAGGTCGGGTGAGATGTGTTAACAGATTTACTCACATGTACAGTATCATTCATCAGTAGTTAGCAACATAACCAGTTTCTGTCACGCATGTCAAACTAGTGCAAACAAATGAGACAATTATCATACTATTCGCTAATTTGACCTGTAATTATAAGCACCAGTTTTTTCCCAAAAAAATGGACATAGTCACAGTCAGGCTTGTGTAATCAACTGCAATCCTGGTACATGTATGTACCGTGCACACACCATCACTTTCACTCAGCCCATCATCTAATCACATAATTCTTCCCTCTAAATGCACCTGGGTGTGGCTTCATTCGTTTTTCCTACCCCTCCAATACAAATCACATACCTTTAAACTTCATAAAAATTGAAATGACTCCGGTCAGGACGCCATTTTATTACTTTGACACGCCTTTTACACGCCCACTTTGATTATTTTTCAATTTTCAATTGTTAATAATTGAGAAAATTAACAGTAGGATGGAGTTTAAATTTTGTAAAAATTCAGCAAATCCCAGATATAGTTTTGTCACAATTTTGAAATTAAAAAATGGAAAATCAAGGAAATTTTCAAATTTTTTGGCTGATGATTTTTTGAAAGTTGCATGTTTTAGTAATTTCTACTAAATTCAAGAAAGGAATGGCAGAAAAGTACACTGACCGCCAGGTAGTGAGCTTTTTTTCACTAAGACACTTTGTCTTCTCTCCCTGGTGAAGAATTACTTTAGAAATTCTAAAGAATCTTGTAGTTGAAGATGACAGGCTAGACCTGCTTTCACAATTTATAATACAACAAGAGCTTGCAATTATGTACACCCACGTGCTAATTATTGCGCTCTCAGAAACCCAACATGGCAGATAGCAGCAGTTGTCAAGGAACTACATTAATAACGGTATAGTGGGTAAATTTGGAGGGGCTAAATTTTGGTGATTGGCGGATTTTTAATTTGGTGAATTTGTGGCCATGTGCCATTGAGCATGCATATAATAGCTCAAGATGGCGGATTTTTATTTTGGCGAATGGCTATCAAAACACCAAATTTAATCCCCTCCAAAATTACCTACTATACGGTAATTGACTCGCACAGAACCTCTATAACTAAATTGGCAGCCATACCCACCAGTTGCCATGGACTGGAGAGAGAGAAAGAATAGGCATAACAGCATTAATATTGGAATGGGAATAGCATAGCAAAGTAAACAAACACTTCATGCAATCTGAAACATGCAGAAAAGATCAACAGATGTTATCTTAGCCTGTGTTATTTTCTTCCTTTAGCAATGTACATGCTTGAACTACAACTTATAGTATCTGGAAACCACAAATGTCCCTCACGATATCTTTTTCTAGTAACTTTTCTCTATTCAGCTCTCCCTCTGCTTATGAGAGTGGTGTGTGATTATAGTTAATTTACATCCAAATATTTTTTGGAACTAATGACCCTCATGTTCTCTACTCATTCTGGAAAGATCAAAGTTCAACAGTTTTGGCCTATATGACTCACACAGCTCCAGAATGGTGTAATACATCAGTTGTTAGACTGGACCTTTTTACTCTCTCCTATGTATACAATATATGGATTATGTGATAACTTGGCAGGAAGTGCCCATAATTCAATTTATTGCCACAAAGATGCCACAATAAATATTATTGTAAAATCATTATAGGAACTATGAATTAGACCACTAAAAATATTCATTTGAATTTTTTAATGGAAGAGATGATTATCGTAGACTTCTTATGTAATAATGAGAAAGCTACAACTGTTTGCATTAATGCCACTAAATGTACCTATAATTTAAGAATGTGAAAGTTGCTAAATTTATGTTGTCATATGATTTGATAGTAATTGTATGATCACTGGTCATGTATCTATACGCAATCAAATTTTTTTTGCCTTATTCAAATTAAAATTCATGTATCATTTATTTGTGGTACACATGTGTGGTGAAATGCATGGAAATACAGAATATTTAGTATGTGACTTGCTTCAATGAAAAAGTTGATAAAATGGAAATCAGCTTCCCCTGCCAGTTATCAAACCATTGACTTGATTAGTATTGCAAAACTAGAAGCTGCTAGTGGACATCAATTCTTCATGAGTAGCTGATCCTAACTTGATTCATTGACAGATTATATCTTTTTTACAGACCTTAAAATTGATTTTTGCTTCTGTTAGTGCTAAATATAAAACAAATATTGATGCATTTTTATACCCATTTTATCACTTAAGAACAGCTCTTCGTTGGAACCAATATGTCTTTTATAAGCTGGAAAAACTCAAACTTAACTAGAATATAAATGTAACGTTACAACATTAAGTTGAGCTCAGATCCACAGGAAATGCAATAAAATCATGTAAAAACAAAACTGACAATGAACCTTGTTATCACTTTTGACAACAAAAATTTTTCGTCAATTAGCAAAGTGACATCAGCCAGGTTTTATTTTATATTTCTTTTAATTTGCTAAAATTAATAAATACTAGACATAATAATATTTTGATCTCATCGTTGCATATTCACTTCACCTTAATGTAGAATGCTATTAAGTGCATAAACCTTGTGCTAACTATATATGTAGCAGAAATATTTTAAATGTTTTATTCTATAGAGTTTTTCTTATCACAATTTGACAAAACGAGTATCGGGAGGATCTGATATACAGGAAATTAAACTATGGCCCTGGCAGGTAATGAAACTATCAAATTATATTATAAATTAATCTTTTGTTGTAATCAGCTCAAAATTTCTGTACAGCACACTAAGCTTTTTGAGTTATGGCCATTTATAAAAACAGACCAATTTTTGAAAATTTCTCTGTACACTTTTTTAACCCATGATTTTTTCATAAAAGGGCTCTAAAATCACCCCCAATATTTATTAAATTTTTATGCTGTGTAGAAGTTTAATTTTTTTGCCTTAATTTATTTGAGTTTTACCCATTTTTTAATGGGCTAATTTTAAAAATTTTACTCTAGTACAGCCTTTTCCAAAAATTGGCTCCACAATTGCCTTTTTATTACATTTTTGATGCATATTGATGTCCTTTTGCTATGTAAAAAATTTGAGCTGGTTCTGACATAATTTTGAGTTTGAACTGATTCCTATGAAAGTCAGATTTTTATGAACTTTTAAAGTTGTTCCAAAATTAGGCCAAAGTCCTTGTACTACAGTACATGCTCTCTTGCCATTTTTTTCAAAATTTACAAGTAAGTTTTTTCTGTTACTTATAAAATTATGCTTTTAGAAATTTTGAGCAGATTCTTTTTAAAATTGGAATTTTATGAATTTTAAAGGTGATAAAACTCTGGAAATATTATACTATAGTACAGGGTCTTCAGCCACATTTTGTCAAAAATGGCTAGGAGAAAATTCTCAATTTTTATAATTTTTTGATACAATTATACAGTATTTTTATGTTATAAAGAAATATTAACCTGATTTTGATCAAAAATTAGACATTTTACAAGTTTTAAAGATACCTCAAAAACCATGTACTTGCCAGGCCATGAAGCATGCTTTGAACCCTAGTCTGGTGCCAGTGTCATCATTTTGAGCCAAACCAGATGAACAAGTGCTACTACTCCTTATGTAATGAAGCACTATGGTGCAATGGACTCGCCTGCTGGAATTCACTTGAGTGATATGTATTACTTGTACTGTGATATTTTAAGCAATTTGAAAAAAATTATTATTGACTGCATAGTTATAATGATAATTAAAATAAGCTATGGGTGTGGCCAACAACTAACTAAATCATGGCACATGGGTAGGAGAAAGAAGAAAAGCTGAAATTTATTTTAGCATCTGAAGCTCTATTCCAAGAAAGAGTTGGCACAGAAAATTTTTCTAGATATTTAAAAGAGACTGAGAGAGTTTGGTTGCTCTTGCTTTCCGCAGTGCCGCCTGAAAAATTCTCAAAGAGGCTAAATCACAAACTTTGAGCAACTGTAACTCACAAACAACGAAGTTAGGACACAATCGTTCTTTTTGTTTTTCGTTAAATGGGATTTTCTACATCTGAAGCAAATCTCAGCCCTGTAGAGTGAAACACGAGCTCTCACCTGGAGAGAGGTCCCCTGGTTTAGCAGTTCACAGCTTTTGGTGCCACGGGATGCTACAAGAGCATAACTAGATGAAAGAAAGTAACTTTATCTGTTGCTAGAAGAAGAAATAGAGCTCTAGACTGCTCAAACAAAAAGATAATTTTTTTACAAATCAATTAAACTGTGTGGACAGAATGACAGAATGACAACCCAACTGCTTAGTACCCGCCTACGCGAGTCCAATAATATCATCTTATTGGCCTCACCCAGCTTTGCGTAGGCGAGGACTAGGTACTCAATTTGTCTGTCTGTCATTCATTCTGTGTGCTCTCTTTTGTCTTTGAGAATGTATATCTTTACAATCGCACGCTCTAAATCTGTGGGAGCTTCTCTTCTGTTAGGAAAAGTCTTGCTTTACTGCCCTCAAGATGTTTAGAGAGCAGCTCTACGTGGCACAAGCTTTTTAACTCACGAGAAAATGCCCAGCAACAGCAGTAGTACTCTGGAGGTAAATGAGACTCCTTCCCAGTAGATCAAGACTATTTATTCATTTAATATGTGTGAGACTCTTTAAATCTTCTTGTTGGTGAGTTATAGCTACTCGAATTTCATCCCGGGTGACTTTGCTGTAGCAGTAGTTCGCTAGTCTAAGGATCCTACACTCTCTTAAGTCACTCACTCTTTCTAGGCAACAATATTTAAGCCATTATGACATCATATAGTGCTTAGAAGAAGAGAAAAAACCTGAAGCTTCCCTCTCACATGGTCTTGCTGCATTATTGATAATTTATGCCACGCCTCCAAGCAGGACCAAGCTGGGAGTTC